CAATGTTGCCAAGTGGAGAAGGGTGGGTTTCAAACATGTTATGGCTGCTAATTCCCAGAATAATCTGGACATCTAGAAACTAAGATCCCAGGGTAAAATACCAGATTGAAGAAAATTGGAATAAACTCTATACATTAAGGAACATTGATTGTATAGTACTTTAACAGTGTATGACATCTAAATCAATGCAGATGCAACAGAGGCTGAAAACAGCAAAGGAAAGGCATGAGGCCAGATTACCTGAGGGACCACCTCTCCCCAATTACTTTTACCTTTTCCATCAGGTCTAACAGGAAAGATATGTTGTGGATTCTATCTGATGAACCTTTTCTGCTCTGGCACCTGCCCTCTGGAACATCACCCCCCCCCCAGGTGAGGTTAGCCCCACCCTTATGCTCTTTTAGAGAGCCCTCAAAACATGTTTTTTTACCAGGCCTGGGGATCCTCCAGCAGCAGCATGTTGGTTACATATGCATAACATCTTAATTAACCCTCTTGCAATCTTTTTAAATTAATTATTTATGTTAATTAAGAAACATATTTATGTTTAAGTTATATTAGTTAGCATAATTTACTTAATTATGCTAGTTAAGTAAATGTTTTAAGTGGTTTTTCTAGGCTATTTTAATAGTTGGTTTATTATATGCTGCCCAGAATCACTTGGCATGAGATGGGTGGCCATATAAATCTGATAAACAATGAAGTCCTACCCATATTCAATTGCTGGCAATTGTTGTGATGACACTAGAAGTGCTAAAGCCCACAAGGCCATTCCAGTCATAAAGGGATGAAGAGTATCATATATATCTCAGAGGCATGTATGGTTATATTCACATCTGCCTGGGGGGAAAAAAAACCCTGAAGGAAATGCAATTTTCTCCATTACTCCAATTTCTGCACTACCCTAGCAAAAAGACAGGTCAGTAACTATTTTAGTTTTGATTACACTAACCAATTCAGAAAACTCTAGTTAGGAGAGACACCTGTCTCATTCTGGAGGATAAGAATTCTCAGCTCGGGTTGAAAATGTCTATGGAGATTCTTTGGAAAATGAAAAAATATTTTAATGGTAATTTTAGGCAAGGATAGTTTTCTGCAGTTTTACAAAACCGGGGTTGGTCCCTCCCCTAGGCATTCACACTTGCACTAAAAAGTCTAAGTTGTAATTAGCTAAAAAAATCACAGTGACTGGAACAACAGAACAGATTAGCCAAACCAAACAATCATTTTATGGATTGGCATGTTGTGCGGATTTATTAGATTTACAACCCACCTTTATTACTTTGAATAACTCAAGGTGGTGAACATCCTATTTCCACCTATTTTCTCCACAACCATCCAATATTTCTCTGAAAAAGAAATAATATAGGAAGTTCTTGAATCCATACTCTAACGTTAAATTTAGCAAATTGTTAGGCGTGTCACACTGTGATTAAGAGCTAAATATAGCAAAAATCCTGTTATAAACTCTTTTCCTCAACACATAGGGACTGGCAATTTTCCCACTAATAACTATGTTACTTAGCTATAGAGTAGATGTTTCCTTCCAAGAACTCGTAACATGGTACCTTTTGTTATATATATTTATATATATATATATAAAACAAAATTTGTTTTTTATATATATATATTCAATATGGAATTCTGTTATTTGTATTACCCCAACATTTAAAATGTGATTTTAAAGAAATAAAAATACCCAAGTGTTTGTTATTGAGAACTTGTTACCTGCCACATTTGGTTAAATATAATTGATTTTATTATGCTAATTAAGTAGATGCAATTCTGGTAATGCAATGGTATGACAAGATGTACCCAGTAAAGTTGAACTGCACAGAAATTAGAGCAGGGGTGTCAAACTCGATTTCATTGAGGACTGCCACTTCGACGTCACTTGTCGAAGTGGAACGCCTGTGGTAGCCTGAGCGCTCTGCCAGCGAAAACAGGGTCCTGAGCTCCGTTTTCAGCTGCAACAACCTCTTGCAATCCTCTGCCAGCAAAAATGGAGCTCATTGGCCCTCCCGAGCTTCATTTTTGCTAGTAGAGGCACCGCAGGCCGGTCCTTCACTGTTACCAGGGTGGCCCCACGGGCCAGATCTAAGCACCGGGCCGGAACCAACCCATAGGCCTTGAGTTTGACACCCCTGATTTAGAGGATTGTGGTAGTTGGCAACCTTTGATAAAACTATTTGCTTTGTAAATAAACTTAATGCTGCAGGTAAAATTTTCTCAAGGTCTGCCCTTTTTAGTGAATGTTCAAAGTTACAATAGTGTGGAAAAAGTAAGTAACTTTACCATCTGACCTCACATTTATGACCATTGCCATATCCCCACAATCATATGATCACCATTTCACAGTGATCATTGTCCCTACTGTCACAAGTTCATGAGATCACCAATCAGCTTCTATCAGTCAATGGAGAAGCCAGCAGTAAAATTGCAAGTTATATGATGTCCCACTTAACAATCCTTGGTGACTTGCTTAATGACCAAATAGAAAATGATATCATAAATTGGTCGCAGGCATGTATGGTGTGGCTTAGCAATTGCATCGTTTAGCGACAGTTTCCGGTCTCTGTTATGGTCACTGAGAGAGGACTATCTATCCTACACTACTTCTTTATATAAAGGTCAGTTAGTATAGGATATGAAAATTCTTCCTTGTCACCAAGGAAGAACTGCTGCCTGCCTGCTAACACAATGTCGAGCTAAGATCCTATGTTCCTAATATCTTTCTGTAATTTGCAGATTTATGAGGTTATGTTTGAAGAGTGGCAGTTGGGATCACACTTCTCACTGAATCATGCTGTGGGAATCTTGCTGGGGGGGAGGGGGACACTGTTAATTCCCTTAAAAAGCTGCACATCACTCCATCAAACCTTTGAGCCATTTTGTAGAACAAAACATTATGCCTCCCACTCTTCACCCCTCATTATTTCTGAGAGAAAAAAACCCAAAGCAATCACATAGCCCCAAACTCATATTTTTGTGGTGGGGATGTAAACAGTGAACTCCTGGTGTGTTGTGAGTAAGAGATGCAGCTTCCATGATGCCCCACCCCATAATCACATTTTGCACAGCAAAGTATTTTACACTATCTCTTTATGTTACACTGTTAATACAGTCCTGCTGAGTTCCATGCCCCCACTCCCCCTGTTAAGCAGCACAGAGTCTGAATTCATCTATTAGATTTAGCTACAGAAGCCAAAAAATTAATGCAGCTAATCCAATTAAGACAGTGAGTTTTTTGGTCTCGGCACGTCAAAAATTCAGAAAATGCCTAACTTGATTCTGCTGGAGTGTCACACCTGCCCACCCACCCACCCCAGAACAAAAGAGGAATAATTCTTTACATATTCAATTATTTTAAAAAAAGATATAGTCTAACTATATCTAACTATATGTTGTTATTATTACACATTAGATGTTATAATTATTACATCGAATAATTACTGTACAAAAATGGAATATGAGTAAAACTCAAGACACATGTAAAATAAAAATGAAGAAACAGTTCCATTATTAAATCAGTTTCATTATTGAAAATATTTAGAATAGTGTCAAGTCATTTAGCTATAGTGGATCTCACATTTGTATTCAGAAGGACAGTGGATTATTCAGAGATTAGAAAAAGGAAGCAAAGGGAACAAGTGCCCTGGCCCACATTTCTAAAGGTTGTATTTTTTTAAAAAAATTACTTCCCAAGTATTCAGTATGGTTTGAAACGGTACAATACTCTGTCAGATTAATATTCTGCCCCATCCCTCAGAAAAAAATGCTTATCAGAGACAGCTTTCAATCGCATGAGGCCTTCACTCTGGAACTTTGGAGAATTCTCTTGTGTGGCTTCCAGCTCTAAAAAGAGCAGGAAAACAAGTCCCATCCACATGCATTTTTAGAGACTCCGGAGGCCCTGTGACTTTCTAGAGAGTGCAGAGGCCACAGGAGAGCACACCAGGAGTTCTGAAAATCATACAAAAACTTCCTGAGATTATTAGAGTATGCAGAGCAGTGGTGGGTTTCAAAATTTTTTACTACCGGTTCTGTGGGTGTGGCTTGGTGGGCGTGGCATGGCTTGGTGGGCGTGGCAGGGGAAGGATACTATAAAATCTCCATTCCCACTCCATTCCCCCTCTGGGGGAAGGTTACTGCAAAATCCCCATTTCCTCCTGATCAGCTGGGATTTGGGAGGCAGAGAATAGATGGGGGCAGGCCAGCAGAATTTTTACTACCGGATCTCCGAACTACTCAAAATTTCCGCTACCGGAAATTTGCTGCAGAGGCCACATGAGAATGTGGTCTGCTTGTGACGTTCTCTGGATTCCTTGGAAGTCATGCTATCTCTGGATCCTCTGAAAATCATGCAAGAATGGATTATTTTTTTCACACGATTTCAAAAGCTCCAGAAACCATGCAAGAGCACAGAGCCCTTTGCACAATTTTGAGGGTCCATATTACACCATATTCTTACATGACCTCTGCAGGCTCAGAAAATTGAGCAAATACCAAGCTCTACTCTACTCAAAAGCAAAATTAAACCTGTTTTCACATTAGCGGGATACGTGAATTCAACCATTGTTACTTGAAAGGTGTACTTTTTTGGGTGAACCACACCATTATGACTTTTCCATAAACTAGAGTTAAAACAAAGTATGGCTAAATGCTATCTATGAACCCAGCAGTATTTCTCAACCTCATCAACTTTAATTTGCAGGGACTTTAATTCCCAGAATTTCCCAGTCCGCATGCTGGCTAGGAATTCTGGGGATTGAAGTCTATTCATCTTAAACTTGTTAAAATTCAGAAACACTATGCCACAGATGTAGAGGTACAATGGTTAAATATCCATGCTTAGACCTCCAGTTCTGGAAGATGAAATGGTAACCAGGAGAAAGCAGTTATGACTTTATCATCCTCTATTATTAGTCTCACAACCCCACCCCCCTTCATAATTCTCAAATGTGTTCTACGTAGTAATCCTCTCAGCAGGCCCTGAACAATATTTTCCATTCGGATTTATTTTTCTTCCAAACAATTTCTCCTTTGGGAATATGACGTCTTCTCTTTTTTTCAGTTATACTTGTTTTGATTCTATTGTATTTGGCATTTGTCACTGTAAATATTCACTAAAGTTAATTGTGTCTACTAAGCATTTATTAAAACATACAGAGCCATGAGAAAATCAAAAACAGGACACCTGGTCATCACCACCAAGCATCTTGCAGTTAGAAAACCTTTATGAAGTGATTTTGTATTAAGCCTTCCACGTGTTCCATAAGGACATTGACGTTAGCAGCACAAATCTCATACTTTGGTTTTTCATTCTTTCTCAGCATCTCTAATAGGCCCCCATGGACTGGAGGCAAAGGGTTATATGAGTTTAACAACTGAAGCTGGCTTAATGGAGTCTGTTTTATTTCCCCAATCCTCAGTGCCTGTAGAATAGCAGGTGCAAACTTAGAATAATGAGCAGTAGAAGAAATGATAACGGGGCAAGTTTTGTCTTGAAGTCGATCTGCAACCACTTTGGCAACAGCTGTGTGTGGATCTAGAATGTACCCTGTGGTGTTGTACACAGAGTGTATGGCACCCAGGCAGTCTTCCTCAGAGCACCAATCAGCCACTAAATCCTGTTGAAGCTTTTGCAGGAGCTTTTCCGGCAACTGAAAGCCCTGATGGTTTTCCAGACTGAGAAGTAACTGTGTCACTAGCTGTCCATCACCATTAGCAATCAGGTGTAAATAACGTTCAAGGTTGGAAGACTTCAAAATGTCTATTGCTGGTGACAAGCTTGGCATTAATTGCCTTCCTTGTAAATCATACAAGCCTGTTTTTAAAAATGAAGTCAAGGCATTGTTTTGATTGGAAGCACAGATACATTTCCGAATAGGGATCCCCATGTTTTTTGCATAAATCGCAGCTAGTATGTTGCCAAAGTTACCTGTGGGAATGCAGACATCTACGGGGCTCCCAAACGAAATAACACCTTGTTCAATAAGGTTCAGATAAGCTGATGCATGATAAACCACCTGGGGAAGCAAGCGTGCCCAGTTGATAGAATTTGCAGCACTTAACGCTGTTCCATATTCCATTGTGAGAAAGCCAGTAAAATCTGAATTGGTAAACATTTGTTTGATGGCAGTCTGGCAAAAATCAAAATCAGCCTGGACGCCTATGGCTTTTGTGTTGACTTCTTGGCAGCTGATCATGTGGAATTTCTGTATTTGGCTAACTCCATCATGAGGAAAGAATGTGATCACAGCAATTCTTTGTTTATCAGACTCTTTAAGTTGACCAAAACCATTTAGAACTGCACTTCCTGTGTCACCAGAAGTTGCTACCAAGATCAAGTAATTGCAGCTTCGGGGAATGCAGTATGCAAACAGATGGGGCAGTAACTGTAAAGCCAAATCTTTAAATGAAGCCGTTGGTCCATGAAACAGCTCCAAAAGGAACTGATTCCCTTGCAGATGTCTAACTGGGGCAATTTTAGAACACATAAAATTTTGTCCATATGCCATCTGAATCATTTCCCACAATTTGGAAGCAGGAATATCATCAGGAGATACACACCTTTCTAGTATAATCTGAGCTCTTTCTGTGTAAGTTGCTCCTAATAAATGTTGCCATTCTCCACCAGTAAATTTTGGAAGTCCCAACTCAGGAACAAAGAGCCCACCATCTGGGGCCAGACCTTCAATAAGAACATCACTGAAATATTTTATAAAACTCCTTGATTTGTCTTCCTTAATGGCACGGGTGGAAATGAAGCATTCCAGTTCAGAATTTTGATACCTCTTAACAGCGAGAAGCACTTTGTCTGCTACATTCTCTGCTGTAATCCCATTTTCGCAGAGAACACGGACATCGTACCACTTTTTATAAAATTGCTTCCTGAACTTAATAATGTCTCCTAATGATGTTTCTTGACCCTGTCCCACAATACGATCCACCTTCATTAATTTCAAACGATCCATTATGCTTTCTGTGGGTACATCCAGATATACCACTATTCCATTTTTCTTCATGTGCTCCATGCTAGCAGTATTCATTGGGTTAGATCCGGAAAGGGACACTACACTTCCAGATGCTGAAAGGTTTAACAGGGCTTTTCCCTCTTCTTCTATAAACTGTTCATTTCCAATGCTCTTTAATTTTTCTGCGACAGTCATATTCCAGGTTGGTTCAAGAACATCATCGTCCACATCTATGAAACAAGAGTCCAGCTTCTGACCTAGTATTTTTCCTACTGTTGTTTTTCCAGCACCTGGAGGCCCCATCAAGACAATGTTCTTATTTCCAACAAGAGACTGCATGAAGGTCCATGCTTTCCAGGTCATGGTGAAGCTTCTTGAGAGAAACAACTTCAAATACAGATCAGAAACCATGCAGTGACATAGTAACTTTGGATGACTCTGCCAGCTTAGACGTAGCATCTTTTTCAAGTTCTAATTCCACCAAAAGGAAAAAAAAATGCTTTAAAGGAAAGAATAAATACATACTTGAGTTACATTTAAAATGATTGCTAGACATTTCTGACAGCTCATTTCCTATCTTAGAAAAGCCTGATTTTGAACAAGATCACACATAGTTTGAAACATGATCAGTTCAAATTTCTTTGAATGACAAAGAGGTCAATCAGTTGACAGCTTTCTCTTTTGAAATCTGCCCAGAAAGACAAACATTCATATGCTGCAACATTTCTACTTTGAAAAACAGCCACTTATGACAGTCTCATATAAAAAGAACTTTGTAAAAATTTATATATGTGGCATAGCTTAACTACTATGGTAAAACCCACCAGCTAAAACAGAATAAAACTAGCAATAACATTTTAAGTATTAGGATGAATGTTCAAAAGCAACACTGACATCAGCAGATAATGTTCTCAAAATCAATAAAAATTCCTCAGTGGCTTCTAAACCACTGTTTAGAAGCCCTCCAAGTTAACCCTCCAAGCTAACTTTTAGAAACTACATTATATACCATCACCCATATGGCACAGTAAACTATTGCTCTTGAACATAAGGAAAGGTCAATTTAAAAGCTAACTGTCATAGCTTAGCAAACCTATATAATGGGACCATCGATTACAATAAATTAAGCATTATACAGAAACTTTTTCTTTAAAACAAAACCCAAAAATTCAAATCCAATTTCCGCGGAATTTTATACTTAACGTTTCAGTGATTTTAATGAAAATAGCGTGCACTTGATATATTAATACAAAACCCCTTCATATAATTTTTTAGTTTTAAAATTAATCTGCAAGGCAAAGAATAATTTTGCTTAAATGAATGTGTCGCCCCAACTTACCACTGGGTTTTTCTAGTATTCTTCTTTGTTGATAGATGGCAATCTTACACACCCCCAACTGGTATCTGTGAATTGCTTTCATGCAGGAACCAGTTACCTGTTGACTGCTTCACACTTCATCTAGATGAACCAGAATAAATGCCACATTAGCAAATGCTCTCCAGAGAGCATGAATTAACAAACATGGAGCAGGTCTCTCTAGCTCTGATAAATGTCTGTGTTGCCAAGAGTGCATTCGTTTGTTTGCTCAGGGAAATCAACAACTGCATCAGCATGAATTGCAAAACAAACAGCACAGGCTATTAAGCAACATTCAGGAAGCTAAATAACCCGTATTACTTTGTTTTCAAAATTAAAGGAAATAAATTCAGAAATAACACATTGCTACCTTTTTTAAAAAAAACACGACTATGCAATTCTGTGAACCTGCAAGGTATATATATATGGACACTATCTCTACAAAGGACATCATGTTAGCTTTCTGCAGTAAATACAATGAAAAGGTTACAGATCTAAAAAAAATGATAAAATTTATTTTTGCATCACATTTTCTTTCCCAAGGACAAGGAGAGAGAAATATTTGAAAGGGAAGATGCAATCTCAGTTTTTCATTCTTAGCCACCAAAGAAATATTTACAGCAGTGACTTTTTCACACTGGTATTAGTTATGGAGAGACAGAGGCATCTTGTGGCGAGCCAATTGCTCTCCAACAGCAGTCGATCTGCACCAGTTCTGGAAGAAACAGAAAAACACCATCCCTTTAAAATCTAGGGGAAGCAATTTCATAAAAATAAAAAATAAAACAGTTGAGAATGCTATGCTTCCCTGCTACATAAAACTAAAATAGATTATGGATTCTCCAAGACCATTACCATTGGAATTTCCCACTGCACTGGGTAGGATTGCTTTTCGCACTGCAAAACTCACTAAAATTTAAAAAAAAGAAAGAAATAACTTTATTTTGGTCATGAAAGTGTTTTGAAATTATTTACTGCCTCAGAAATCATGGACTAATCATTAAGTGTTAGTTAGATCAAACCACCATGTAATTCAATGCCCAATCCGATGTTACAAAGGGTAGATCCATGCAAAATTAGGTTCCTGCTAAAATCAATAAAATAGAATAGAATAAAATTCTTTATTGGCCAAGTGTGATTGGACACACAAGGACTTTGTCTTAGTGCATACGCTCTCGGTGTACATAAAAGAAAAGATACATGCATCAAGAATCATAAGGTACAACACTTAATGATAGTCATAGGGAAACAGTCAATATAAATCTTAAGGATACCAACAACAAGGTTACAGTCATAGAGTCATAAGTGGGAGGAGATGGGTGACAGGAACGATGAGAAGATTAATAGTAATGCAGACTTAGTAACTAGTTTGACAGTGTTGAGGGAATTATTTGTTTAGCAGAGTGATGGCATTCGGGAAAAAACTGTTCTTGTGTCTAGTTGTTCTGGTGTGCAGTGCTCTATAGTGTCGTTTTGAGGATAGGAGTTGAAACAGTTTACGTCCAGGATGTGAGGGGTCTGTAAATATTGTCACAGCCCTCTTTTTGACTCGTGCAGTATACAGGTCCTCAATGGAAGGCAGATTGGTAGTAATTATTTTTTCTGCAGTTTTAATTATCCTCTGAAGTCTGTGTAAGTCTGTAAAAGGGGGTGAAAATTTGGGTGCGTCTTATACACCAAATGTAGCCCGGCCTACCCTCTGGCCCCTACCTTTTGGCCTCTGCCTCCCAGCAATTTACCTCCTTGTAGCAAGCAGCAAGAAGAAACAGCCCATTTCAGCTTCAGCACAGCCTAATTAGCACAAGTTGATTGTCCTTGGCTCAGTCTCACGACTCTCAGCTGTTTCAGGCTGCAGGGATTGCTATTGCCTATTGCTGCATGGATCTCTGCTGCTTGCTGCAAGGAGGTAAATTGCTGGGAGCAGATTTTTTTTTCTTGTGCTAATCAAGCTATGCTGAAAACGAAAACGAAAGTGAAGCAGGCTGTTTGCTGTTTGCTGCAATGAGGCTAAATTGCTGGAGGCAGAGGCAGATTTCTTTTTCTTGTTTTCCTCACCAAAAAATGTAGTGGCGTCTTATAGCCTGGAGTGTCTTATACTCCGAAAAATACAGTATGTCCCACCAACCAACTAACCAGATTTTTTTCTTTTGCTTCAGAATTACTGATATTCCAAGAAAACTGTATTGGTAAACAACAAACAATGTATTGGGATAAAACTCCTTCACACTCTTCCTCTCACATTTAATACCAGTTAACAGATGCAAAATTTAATTGTTCTTGTTTCATTTGTGGGAGATCAATAGTCTTATGGTAAAGCCAGAACAACAACAAAAAATGACCTATTAATTCAGATGGATTTGTATGCAGTTCAACAGCATTCCCTTCCATTTCCCTTATATTTTTCCCAACCAGCAAGTCAGGAATGTTGTTTGTTTTGTCACTGGACAACAAAGTTCGGGGATGATAGTCCTATGGCAAGATCAGATCAGATCTGGTTATAAGGTCTAACCCTCACTAAAGTGTTTAATCTCTCTCTTGACTCAGAAGATAGACCAATATTTTTATGTGTGTGCATTTTTTGGGAAAAAAATCTGTCTTCTAACACATCAATAGACTTAACTGAGGGAAGAAAAAGGAGGCTGAGAACAGGACTGCTACTTGTTTCATGTAGTGTCCCTCCTAATCTTCACCAATCTATCAAGTAAGATTTTTTTATTGACTTGGATGTATTAATCTTTGGAAGACTCAAAGATATGTAGGAAGCATCATCTTCCAGGAGACATATTCACTTGCCAAAGAACTTCATAAGCTAGGTGTTTGGTCTCTCTTACATCCCTAGTCAAAATGAATAGAACTATAGTAAAAGACAGTGTACCTATAGAAAACTTAGGCAAGCACAGTAGCAGGGAAACTCCCAATCCTTACAATATCATTATCACCTTCATTACCAAAACGTCCTAAGTTGTTCACACTGCAGGGTATTGTGTAAGAAGAGGGAAGGCACTATTTTCATTTGGAACAATTAAATATGATTTTAAGTTAACATCACCATACAGACTGGCAAGAATGGAAATGACATTTGGAGGATATATTGGTCACAATGGTTACTGAAATGACTTCATTCCATAGTAATGGGATGTGAGGGTATAACATATATATATATATTTTTGGTTGCACTCCAATTTGATGACATATAATAAAAATATAGAAGAGGTTGCTACTGTCTTCTTCTGGGATGATTTTTTTATTTCTCAGCCTTTTAAATAGCCCAAGATTTTCTAGTGATCTTCTATACAAGTATTAGAACACCTGTCCATATTTAGCTTTTTAAATTATAATGTACAATTACAATCAAGGGTGGCAATCTCACAGCCCAAAAACCAGATGCGTCACACCTGGCCACACCCACGCCTGAAGAGGGGAAAACTCACGATACATCATGTGTCGGCGCTGTGACAATACGAGTTTGATGACCCTGCTTTAGATTCATCAAGAGCATTGATTAGAATACAGTACTGCAGGCTAATTCTGCCAATTGCCAGCAATTTGATTCTCACCAACTCAAGGTTGACTCAGCCTTCCATCCTTCCAAGGTTGATAAAATGAGGACTCAGGTTGACAGGGCAATATGTTGACTCTGTAAACCGCTTAGAGAGGGCTGTAAAGCACTTTGAAGTGGTATATGTCTAAATGATATTGCTACTTATTTCTTAATGTAATTTCTATTGATTAACTAATTTGTAATTTAGATTGTCTAATGTGCGTGATAGCAATAAAAAATCTCAAATGAGCAACAAAACTATATTGGAGTTTAATATCATTAAAAAAAGAACAGCTTTACATAATTCTAAATCATAAGCAGGTTTTTGAATAATTGCATACATACCTGAAAAAAAGGAGAGATATTTTATTTCAAATGCCTTGATAACGGAAGTAGATAGTGAAAGAAATTCTTCATCTAGTTTAATCCTCGAGGTTAAAACTACAAGCAATACATGTTAGTATTTTATAAATGATATCTGCATTTATGTACAAAAAAAAACTATGGGGTAGATCTGCCTTCTCTTGTGAGCAGTTCTTGGCAATTTTCCACTTGGTTAATATGACCATGGAAATTAAGTTTTCATCTCTATTTGGAATGTAACCCTGTCAGTTGCAATTTGTTCTTGTTCGGCTCACAATAGATCCAACATTTATAGTAACAGAGTGTATAATACTAGTATCATATACTCTTTACTAAAAGTTGCCGAAGTTGAAATTTGATATCTGTGTTCACATTAAATTCCATATTGAGAGTCCTCTACTGCTTCTGTTAATGGACGTTTATCTGTTAATCTATTAATCTGGAATATAATGGCTGGAGTCACGTATCATGTTAAGCCATAGTATTGTGTACAGACTCACTAGTGTCAAAAAAGTGCCTCTTTAACTATCTCATAAAATGATTCCATATTTAGACTTTGAATAAATAGAATTGATGCCCTACACACACACACTCATCAAAAGAATTCTCTGATATAATCCCAATGATACAAAAGCAAACAATAAGTCTAATTTTATCATGTCTTTATGAAGGTGGATATATTGGTATATATAGCAGAACCTCTGGTCACGACCATAATTCGTTCCATAACTTTGGTCGCAACCCAATTTGGTCTTGGTCAGAAGCATTCGTGACCAGAGGTTCTACTGTACACAATATGCCAGCTAGACACAGATAATATTGATAGAGGATTGCCCTTGATTGGACAAACCAATAATCTCACGAGTTGGGTTTTCATTTATAAATTGAAAATGACTGCTCAGAAGGGAAGAGAGCTTGTCTATAAGCATCTAAGTAGAAAGCCTACATGAGATCTCTACCATGAACATGAGCTAAACTTGAAGGCTTAGTCAAGGAAGTAATAAATGAAAAAAATCATGTGAATTGATTGTACTAATCCAAGCAAACGACATTATGGCTTAGCAATATATGAATCCAATCTGTACCTATTGGTGGCTTTATAGTAATTTTTTCCCGTTCTTAGTAGATAATACAGTACATCACTCCAAAGCGTTTCCAAATTGCAAAGTAAGGGAGTCTCAGTAAAGGACATGGCAACATAAAGATTAATGAGGGTGGAAATACCAATCACAGTTCTGATGCATATTATTGTAGAATAATTCATCTATAGACAAACGATTTGAGCGTCTAGAATTAGGATTCAATTTCTACAGTTGAATTTTTCACAAAAGTTTGGAGTGCTAGATTCTTTAAGCAGGAGATGAGGAAACTGTGATTTTAAGAATATTCTGGTTATAATTCCCATCATCTTTAACATATTTGCTGGAGTTATCTGATTTTAGGAGCATCTGATGGACAATTTCTTATGACCCTCCTGAAGCATTCAAACAGCTCTTTGCCCGTTATAACATACTAAGGAAATGCCCCTGCTGGTACTTTTCCGATTCGGGCCAGTCCAATTTTATATAGTGGATTAGAAACCAAATCAAATAAAAAACGACTTCCTCTTCCATGTATGTTTCCATACACGAAACTCGCAAACCTCCATTTACTGTTGAACTACAATTCCCAGCATCCCTCCCTATTCTCTATACAGGCTGAAGCTGTTGGGAAATGAATTTTTGCATCATCTAAAGGGCCGCCAAAGCGCTTCTCCCTGCATGATTCCCACTCGGTCATTAAATGGCTATGGATTCTATTCATAGGTAATAAGGAAAGATCTGCATGTCTCCCAAATTCAGACGGAAAAGCTAAGCAAGAATATTTTCCAAGGCAGAATTTTTCCATGAAGACTCTCCCCTCCCCTCCAAGAACCAGATACGTACTATTACGCATGCGCACACTTCCACTCCGACCTCGTTCGAAGATCCACCGAACTCCTTCCTATCTATCATCGTAGGCGTTCTCCCCGCTAACTCTCTTATCGCGCTTGCGCACCGTTCCATCGAGCTCTGTGCTCCGCCCCATTCGGCTACCCATTGTTCGTTATGATTCCGGAAGTGATGTCATAAAGCCGGTCCCCCGTTCTACACAAATGTGTTACCAAGCAGTAGTTTCTAGGGGCAACCAAACAGTGGGCTTGTTGCTGCTCCTGTAAAACTCATTCTCTGAATGAGGAAGAATTCGAATACCTTCGAAGAAAAAGCCCTAGAAGAGACGGGAAGGGTGGGAGGAGAGAGGAGGAAAAAAATAGATTGGAGAAAAATATTTTTGGAACAGGTAAGCAGGTAGTCTGAAGTAGTGAAGAAGACACTATTAATTTTTGGAATTAATTTATTACATGCGTACTTCATCTTTCCTTCAGGTGGTGGTGTGAGATTTCTACTTTTCCTCTTTTCTGCCCTAACAATCTTGTAAAGATGGGAGAGAGAGAGAGAGAGAGCATGGCTGGGTTCATATAACATGCTAAATCATAAAATGGTTTGCTTGTTTTGGATTGTATCTTATGAATGTAATTGTGGTTAAGCCATGCTAGCTGATATAAAGTGTTGTCTGAAGTGGTAAAACAGAAACTGCTTTGGTTCAAAGAACCATATCTTAACATGGGGTGTGAATGCCGGCAATGGTTTTTCTAAAATCCCCTGTGAATTTCAGAGTCCTGACTTCAGTTAGACTCCTGCCCTAGTTCAGTGATATAATTTGAATGCAATATTACCTCTTCACTTTGATTTGAATATATAAAACATTCCTTTAGTGACTCAGATGACAGTATCTTGGGATGTGTGTTTGGATGGTGAGTAGCTTTCCAGAACCTTGGAACAAATAGAGGTCTTGAGGTACTTTAAACTAGAAACCACTGAATTGTGCCTCTCCATCTCCACAGTCTTTTACTGCTTATTCAGGTGATCCCTATTCATAAATATAAGCTGAATGATCTGCATCAGATGTATAGAAAAATGAAGTTTGATACTTGGCAAGATAATATGATTAGTCAAATTTATCCCAAAGACGTTTCATCTTGGGTGTGCTGGGTAAATCTCCCTTAGGCTTCTCAATCAATATCAAGAGTATGGTTTTCTGTTTAATAAGTTAGTAAGCTGTCACATCTACTTAACTATATGGAGAGCCACTGGTTGGCAAAAGGTATGTACCCTGTTTCCCCCAAAATAAGACATCCCCTGATAATAAGCCCAATCGGGCTTTTGAGCGCATGGCATGGATGATAGTGAAGGACAGAAAATGAAAAATATGAAAGAGAAAATCTGAAGGAAAGTCAGAATGTTTGAGTATGCATGGGAAGAGTGATAAAAAATGACATGATTATGAGAGAAAATATGACAGATAGCTTCCTTAATAGCTAAGCAACTTAAATAATTTATTTGTAGGCCTGTTACGATGACAGCTATGGTCATGGAGGAGAGCATTTACAATCTTCTACCTCAGATTGTGGAGAAGTCTCGGATAACAGAGAAGCCTAGGTATGGGAACAAGAATCTTTCCCCTGGCTGCTGTTCTGACATGTTTTGCATTTAATAATCACCGGTATGCTTTTTTTTAAGACACATGTTAAGTATTACTTTTTATATAGGAAGAAACTGAATATAGGATCTTCCACCACTTAATAGGTTAGTACTGCTAATATACCAATACCTACATGTCTCCTTTATCTGCAAAAGTAGGGAAGACTGTTTGCACCTGCTCCTTTTAAATCAGTTTTATATACTTATTGGAAAAAAATAGAGGAAGGCTGCTGCCTATACACCTCAAATAAATTCTTTTTGAATCTGGGAATAAACAGTCCAAAAGATGTCTGAATGAAAATTGTAATATTACACTATGTATTATGTTTATACAACATGCAAATTTCAACTTTTTAAAAACTTTTGTTTCTTTATTTCATAGAGATCTGAAATTTTGGTAATATGAGTTTGATACATTATTTCTTTTGCAATGTTACTCTGAAGTAATAAACAACTCCAGCAGAATGCAACTTTCATAAAAAGCTGTGCTACTTTATTTCCTCTTGGTGACTTCAGGAATAAATTCCAGGAGTCAACCTGTCTGTCAGGTCTCTTATACTAAATAGTTCTGTCAGCAGCTTGAACAAGTGTTGCTCCAGATATGGAGAATTCCTGTCAATGTGTCATTTAATTTGATTTTCCACAAGCTGCCGCTATGCTGCTAATGATGAAACTGGTTGATCTCCTCTCATGCGATGAATCTCGGAGGCAGGTCAAGTTTCTCTACCCTGGCAGCACTAATTCTGGAGACAGATGTACAGTTGGGATCAATAGAAGGGATAGCAACAATTCTGATTCCGTGTTCTGTTATGAGTTGGAATAAAGCTTTCAATATACCATCAACGGGATATAGGCAAACAAACAATGAGAGGAATTATAAATAGTGTCAGGGTAACATGAGTGGCAATTGCCTGTTACTCCTACAGCCATTTGCTGACTATTAGCTTGGATTAGGTAAATGGCAAGGGCATTATAAATCAGACATTATTGTGGTTGTCTTAAAAAAAGAACATGAACTAGCAGTATCATTTATATCTCAACACTTGTCTTTCTTGTTTATCTGTATTTTGCCTTTAGTATATTTACAAATAATTCAGGGTGGCAAATATATCCAATACACCTTCCTACTCCTATACTCAACAACCCTGTGAGGTGGGCTGAGCTGAAAGAGAATAATTGGCCCAAAGTTACTCCGCTAGCTTTCATGACTAAGGCAGGACTTGAACTCACAATCTCCCATTTTCTAGCCTGGTGTCTTGATCACTAGACCAGACTGGCTCTCTATATAAAGAGCCAATTGGCCAGTGAAGGAAAAGCATTTTTCTCTATGCACGCATGTCTTCCAGAAAAAATATATTTGACCCAACACAAAAATTAGCAGGTTTCGATGCCACCCACCAATGCTGGAAAATCTGAGTAGGATCTACACCTGCACAGCATCTGCCAAGACACTCCGTTTAAATGGGGCAGAGTATCTTCCCCTGAATGTGATGATCCTTGACAGATACTTGATCATATAGTGACTAGCTGCCATTTGAGATCTTATACAGATGGAAAAGCAGTCTTTCTCCAACTGACAAATACTGTGCTTAATTGGATAAGTGGTCTAGATATTAATATATTGAATACTTCTATTCTTATGAACCAAGATATTTAAAAATTTACCTATAGTATATCTTTTTTTATTTCCTTAAAATTTACAAAATTGATTACATATCTCCATCATATGCCTACCATAGCATTATGTACTCCTTCTATATAATTTTATTATTGTTGTCCATGTGTTCTATGCCAGGGGTCCCCAACCTCTAGGCTGCGGCCCACTAGTGGACTGTGAGCTTTTTGCAACTGGGCCATGAAAATGGTGGGCAAGTATGTGTGCATGCACATACATCCCCACTTGCGCAAGCAGCAGAAAAGCAGATGCATGCATGCTCCATTTGTACGAGAGACAGGTACCCGTACACGCTGCTTATGCAAATGGAGCTGCACTTCTGCAAACGCTTGTCATCGTTCATGCAGAACCATCCCCTCTCCCCCTCCCACCGATTTGTAAAATCAGAAAGGTTGGGGAACTCTGTTCTATGCCATACACTAAATAAGTAAATAAATATCTTCAGTGAGTGATGTTCTCTGGGCAATTTATAACACAAAATATAGAGCAGGCCGGCGGGCCAGATTCGGCCCGTGGGGTGCTTAGATTTTGCCCATGAGTCTACCCTGGAAACAGGGAAGTACCGGCCCATGGTGCCTCTGCCAGTGAAAATGGAGCTCGGGTGGGCAGTGCACAGCCCTCCCAGGCTCCGTTTTCGGCTGCAATGGCCTCCTGCAGCCCTCTGCCAGTGAAAACGGAGCTCGGCAGCCTACTTTTGCTGGCAGAGCACTTGGGCCATCACAATTGCCCCCAACATGAGTGATGTCAAGCCACACCCATCCTGGCCATGCCCATTCCAGCCCCCGAGGTCATACACAACCCTAATGCGGCTGTCCTCCCTGGAGGCCATCTTTTACTTTGAATCTTCAGGGCTGCCACACTTGGTAGATGGGCATGCTGTGGGAAACAGGAGGGGTGGTGGATGGAGACAGGGTGTATAGCCATAACAACATTCTTTTCCCTGGAAGTCAAGGATGTTCAGCCTGCACCTGGAGAGGCGTGACTGGGAAGCAATTCCAGTTGGGACAAGGACATGATTGGACCATGTGATGGATATGTGGGTGCAGCGGAAAGGACTTTTGACTTTGATTTGGGTGGGGAAAACCTGGAGGCCTTTCAGATTCGGGTTTTCCCAGATGTGCCAATATGACACCTCTAATAAAATGGAACTTTGAAGAAAATGCCTGCCCTGGAATTTTACTTCTGCTGGGTGTGTTACTTGGAACCCTGACAGCGGCCCTCAATGAAATTGAGTTTGAGACCCCTGATATAGACTGGTTATATGCAGCGTAATGTGATTTGCTTGGCTTTGGCTTACAGCAAACCAACCAAGTTACTGGAACTTCTTTCATAGGCAACATAACTGTGATATTTAACCTAGCTATTGTTTATAAACCAGATTTTATAGTTTAGCAAATTATAGCTATGAATTCAACCAGCTGTAGTAGACCATGTTTAAATATACGGGTTCAACTTCCGTGCCAAGAGAGTAGTATTTCTGTTTTAGGAATTGTGATGCTGGAGCTTGTTAAATGGAGGATAGGCAATAATCCCTATAGTGTTGATATCACTTTGGAATCCTGTGGTTAGGTTAGGTTACTGAGGTTACTGAGAGTAAACTACCTATTGGATGTATTTTTTTTAATTAAAGGGAAATCAATATTAAAAATCAATTAACTACCTTTCCCCTTCTTGAAGCTGA